CCATATAACCCAATGAATAATAAACCAGATCTGTTTATTCATGATGCAGACTATCATGTGCTTTGCTACTTTAATTCACTAAAATCAATATGTTTATCTGAGTATAATAAGACTTTATAGTAAAACTTTTATGAGATTAAACCATTAAAATAATTTTGCATTTTTCAGGACACAATAATAGGTGATGATCGTTGGCAATGATGTATCAATTCTGATTGCATAAGAAGACGTTTAGGAATTTAAAAGGTTTTGTAGGTGATTTATTGTTGTTATTAAGTGCCACTGAGTCGATTTGGACACATAGCAACCCTGTATAGGGTTTCCAAGTAACGGCTGGTGAGCTTGAACCACCGACTTTGCAGTTCAAACGACTTTGCAATCTGATGCATTGGCCCACAGCGCCACACTAGCAGATAATTTGTACCCCCATTAAATACCTATGGAGCACAGTTCTCTGACATATCTTAGGTACCCATGAATAGAAGTTGATTGGGTTCCAAATGCCTTGATTTTTAGCATTCGTTTAATTGTAATCCATTGATTGAACAAAACAGTCAGAGTCCATACAATTGACTATTTCCTAGTACTTTGTGTTTTATATCCCTTGTAAAGTAATTCTTTAAGTACTTAAAAAGTAACATTGATTTAGGATTACTTAACGTGGCATCACTTGGATTGGCCAAGTGGCAGCATTGATGGACTTAAGCATGGTAACAATACTGAGGTTGGCCCAGGATCGGGCAGTGTTTCATTCTGCTGTGCATAGGGTTGCTATGAGTTGGTACTGACTCGATGGCACCTAACAACAACAACAACAACAACAACAACAACAACAACAGGAAACTATTTCCTTCAAAATAATGAAATGATCAGTGACTAATTAAAGTATCGTAGTGTAGAGGTTACGAATAGGACTGTGAACTTCCAGGTCAGCAGTTTGAAACTACCAGCTGTTCCACGGGAGAAAGATGAGGCTTTCTGCTTTCCTAAAGATTTGCAGCCTCGGAAATCCTGTATAGGGTAGCTATGAGTCAGAATCGACTCCACTGCACATAACAACAACAACAATTAAAGTCCATAGTATCATCTGTGGAGGCATGGTGCTATTGGATAAGCACTGGACCACAAGGTCAGTTTGAATCTCAGGATCAGCAGTTCAAACTCACCAGCTGCTCCTCTGAAACCCTATACAGGTTGCTATGAGTTGGAAACAGCTCCGACAGCACTTAGCAACAATATAGTATCATCTGTAAAGGATTTCATAGTTTCTTCCTGATGTGGCGCTGTAGGGTAAGAATTGCACTGCAAGGTGAGTGGTTCAAGCTGTTCTTTGGAAACTGCAGGGTTGCTGTGTGTCAGAACTGATTCGTTGGCACTTAACAACAAAAACATCCTCAGAGTATTTTGTCCATATGTCTCAGTCTACACAGAGGGTGACACAAAGTCTTTTCTTTGCAAGCCTTCCAAATGCCTAAATTGAAGTCAATCTGCTTTACCTCTTTACATCCTCTGTTAATGTGGTACTGAAAAAAAGAGGCAGACACTCTGAGATAAAACAGTTCATGTGTATTAAACAAATCTCTTTCAATGTTTTAATGATGCTTTCCTCTTTTCAATATCTTTTTTGTATATTCAATGTAACATATTGTTCAATGTTCAGTCTTGGTCTTTTACTTCTATTTGTTGCACATACATATATTATTGGTCGAAAAACTTTCTTTCATGTGTATTATTGGGCACTGAATATGTAAGCAGAGAAAGACAGACAATAACCAATGTAGAATGCACTGTGCTAATTTCCATCAGCTCTGCTCTGAGTGATGGTTTCATTCCTTGTGATCACCTAATATTCATCAATTATTAGAATACTTACACATTTATCCTTTAGAGATGTATACCATGCAAAGCAGAAATATTGTAAAAGATCACAGTTACTCACAATGTCCAGGTCAGGATTAAAAGTCATCCATTCTATTTTAACATTTTATGCTATGAAGTCACTGGGAAACAGGGTTGAGGGGAGGGGACACATAAATTAAGTAGAAATATCAATAAAATCTGTTGTTTCATATCATCATGTAATTAAGTTATTACTAGAACTTGGGATAGATTTCTGAAGAACTGCTTTTTAAAACAATTATTGGAAATTACAAATATTATTAAAATAATATCCTATGCCTTCTGTGATAAACATTTTAGAAAGAATTGCTGTACTACTGATTCAGTGTACTAGTGATCAAATTACAGTTATTAAAACCTAAAGAACAGTGAATTTTAAATGTGTTTGTTGTTGTTAATTGTCATCAAGTTGGTTCCGGCTCATAGAGACCCTGTAGCATTTTCAAGGAGCAGTTGATAAGTTTGAACCACCAGATTGGAGGTACAAATGACCTTCAGTCAGTGCTTTATCCTATGGCATTGAACCAGGATTCCTGCTTCTGGTTAGTTGCTGCCAAGTCACTTCTGACTCCTGGTGATACAAAGTGTGCAGAGTAGAAATGCTGCTCAGAATTTTCAAGGCTAAAGGATCACCAGACCTGACTCTGACTGGTTTTGAACCTACAACCTTTTGACTAGTAGTTAAGCACTTAAGCATTTGCCTTACTGAGAGACTGCTTAAAAGTACTTAGTAATATTTAGTTTCAGATAATGCCGAATAGGTTTTACAAATCTTACCAAGCTGAATTAAGTTAAAAGTTTCAAAATGCTTCCTAAGGGACAATTATCAATTATTTTTCCAGCTTTTCCTCCTTCACAAACCAAAATTAGAAAAAAGAAAGAATAACTAAAATGCCTTGTTAGTCACTTTTCCTCTGCCTTAAATCCATTGCTATCCAGTGGGTTCCATCTCATGGGGACCTTATGTCAAGTGCATCGTACAGGGTCACACCAAGAGTCCTAGCCTTTTGGTTAGCAACTGAGAACACGCTAAATCACTAGCTTATCGGAGCTCCTTGTATTTGGGTTAATGCACTGTACTGCAGTGTAGGTTTGAACACAAGGTCGGCGGTTCAGGCTTACCAGCTGCTTCTCAGAAACCCTATGCAGGGTCACTATGAGTTGAAGTCAACTTGACAGCACTTAACAATAACAGCGTATATAGTATTATGTAATTAAATATTAATGTATTCATGAAATATGTTATTTTATGCATGACTATTGGCAGGATGCCCTGGTGGTGCAGTGGGTAAAGAGCTCAGCTGTTAAACAAAAGATTTGTGGTTGGAAATCACCAGCTTCTCCCTAGGAGATATTCATGGAATAGTCCACTTCAGCCAATATTTATAAACTTGGAAACCCTATGTGCAATGCATTAAAGAGAAGTAATTTCAAAATTTCTGACATGCGTATATTATTCTGAACTAGACACATGCTCAATTTGGGTAAAAAGAGAAAACACTGAGCTATCAGGTCTACATGGGATTTAATTCCACTGGTCCTCATGTAAGTTTGAAAAGTTTTCCTCTATAGACTGCTCTAACAGAATATTTCTCCTCTGATTTTGTCACCTAAAGCAACACATTTTGAGGAATATGCATACTGTTTTGAAAGAGAAGATATTGTACTTTAGTGTTTTTCCAATGATTTGCCTCCTTTTCATAACTACCTATCTAAACCACTTGACTGATGTAAACAAACTTAATTTAGTCAACAGCTAGCAGCAAGTTTCCCAAAGTAGTTATATTTTCTCGATTTTCTTTATTCTCTCGTACTTTATCTTCAAATTCTTTTCCCAGCCCCTCATCTGTATTACAATTTGTATTTCATGTTAAAATACACAGTGCCATTAATTGAGATAAATATAGAGCTCAGGGAGTGCTAGAAATAAAAATGGGCTGATTAAAAATTATCTCAAAACTATATTTTAAATAAATATTCCATAAAAAAGATATAAAAAAATTATGAATCTGAGCACCTATTACAGGTAATAATCTAATCTGATTATTTCATTTTTCTGATATAAGCTTCATAAATGTCCTTTTTTAAAACATAAAATAACATTTGTTGAAATGAGTTCTTGTATTATAAATGTCTAAACAAGAGTGTTCCTATACATAGACTGTCTGGGTATATGTCTATGATAACATCTAATATATTCATTTTGAATGTGGAAATATTCAGGTTCAGGTAAAAAGGGATGATTTTTAAAGCATAGGATTTTTTGGGAAATAAAGAATCTGACAGTTGAGAGTTTTATTAGTGATGATTCAGAAACCTTCAACAGCTGAAGAAGCAGGTAAATGTTTAAATATAACCGTTTTGAAAAAAAATACTGAGCAAGTGCCATAAAAATAAGAATACTGTCATTTCTCTGTATTTCACTTGTTTTCTTTTGTTCGTAGATATGCTATGTCTTAGTTTTGAGAGTGATGGCAGTGTTTAGTTGATAATTATGTTGTAATTAAAGACTCTTGAATGTATTTTTACATAATCATAGTTTTATTCCAAAGAAATGCTATCTTAAAATAACTGGAAGATAATTTCATTCTTAGTCTCATTGACACTAGCTGCAGGGGAAAAAAGGCAATGAAGGATCAAACTTAGGGTCTCTGACATAAGGCATATAAATATATTTTTAAAATATAAAAATGGTGAACAAAAGTATGAAAGTGTTGTAAGACAGTGGTACAATGTTTAATTAGTGCATAATTTCAGCCTTAAATACCAGTAAAAGAACAACTAAAGCAAATGCACTACAAACAGAATCCTTGTAGATTTCTAACATGTGTGTGTAAGATGAGAATTTAACATAATGTATTATTTAGCTTGCTATGCTAGAAAATAAATTTATTAAACATTTCAAACAATGTGTAATTATTTCCATCAAAATTTACTTGCATTATACTTGCTATGGAAAGGGAATGGAAAGACGATTTTCAGAAAGAGGAGGAGTTGAGCAGTCCCAAGGTGGAGCTGTCTCTTGCATTAAGTGACACTGGCAGATTAAAGCGCTCTGATGGGGAAGGGCTTAAAAGCTGAGTCAAAAGCCAAGAAGTCTCTTTATTTACGCCTACCTCCCAGCCCTTGGCAATCTGACTAATAGCAAACTGAGCTAACAAGAAAGACTAGAAAGGGAGGAAAGAGCGTTGCCGCAGTTTGGATCTACAACCTAAGAAAGCAAGAGTGATCAATCCCCGCTCTGTTAAACATCTTATTTATTTACTGTGTTCAGCAGCTTGTAAATGGTTAACTATATGCAGAAAAGTCAGCATAGCTGTGAAGTATGCCGTGAATTTTAATTGGGGGAAAAAATGGACCACTGCTTCAGGATGATCTAGTATGCACTCTGCTTGAAATCTTTTTTTTTTTTTTTAATGAAATGTTCAGCATTTGGTCTCTGACTGAAGTATTCAACTTTAGGTAGCTATGGGACATGCCAAAAAGTGATATTTAAGAAGAAAGTACGCAGTGGTTGGTGTTTTCCTCTTTTATAAAGAAACTGAATTTGTTTAAACATCTCTTCCAGCTGTGTATTACAGAGAATGTCAGGAAGCCTCAGCTTTACAGGTAAGATAAATGTTTGCAGACTTTTCTTGTACCTATTTTTGCATTCTCGTAAAGTGATTGAATTTACATGTTTGATGCTTTATTTGCTTGTTTTTCATACTTTTTCATGAGGGTTATCTGATTTCAGTCTTGCTCACTAGCACTGCTAATGCTGTAGCTGACGCTTGTTTTCTCTGAGTAGCAGACATTTAGTCCAACAGCTGGCTGTAGAGAAGAGCAGGCATAAAGATATATCACTGTTTCTTTTATAGTATGCAGTTTCATATCAGAAGTTAAATATGTGGACTTTCTGAAGAAAAGATACCTTAAAAAGCCATTGTTGAATTTCAAACATCAGCTAATTTAAAAAAAATTCTTTGTATTTGGACTGTTACTTTTATTGTTTTCCTATTTGAAAATAATGCATGTTCTGAAAATATGTTAACACTGACTTTTGTTCCGTTTAAAATTGTATTGGCAATATGATACCACTCTTCAAATGTACATTCATTTCTAATGACATTGGAAACCTTTTACATTTTTTCCCTTTGTCTTTTGAACCTGGGTCATTTTGAATAGTATACATTTTAAGGTTTGAATGCAAAAGACATAAAACAAAGAGATGAGGGGTAGTAATCATTTGGAGCTTGTTTAAAACAGTTCCTGAAGATGCTGTGCCTGCTGGAATTAATCGCACTCTTTCTTGGTAATCTATGCAAAAACTTTGTGTTTGGGAAAATCAGTTCAACAATTGAAAACTTCAACTTCAAGTTGCTTGATTCTAAGCATGACATTCAGAGCTATTTAAAATCAAACTCCTTTCCTATGGAAATAATAAAGTTGGATAACTTTTTCTGTTCATAAAGGCACTATCTTGTTGTTTCTTTGGTTACCTTTTGTTTTTAAGAAACTATTACTATGCATGTTTTCATAAAATAATGCTTTGTAATGGAATGAAAGTTTATGTTTAGGATTATTGAATGAACTCTGGGATGTTCTCGCTGATTGTGAATTGTAATTGGATTTAAAATTACTTTTTACATTTCCCCCAGAAAAATTAAAAGCAATTACCAGTTCAAAAAGTTAAATAACCATAAGATGTGATGTTCACTTCTCTTTAAGTTTATTTTTTAGGAAGTTAGAGATTTAAAGTTAGGTGAAAAATTAGACACTGGTGTGTATATCTATATATTTTAACTTGTCATTGCTATTGTTTTAAAGTTAGATTAAAAACAAACTGCTGCTTCAGATACACAAGCTTGAAATTTTTAAATAGTTGGGATACATGGTGGTGTTTCCTTAACATGGCATTTTTTGTTTGTCACATTAGAGATACTCTCAATTCTTCTTAGTGATGTTTGTTTCATATTTAATTGTTGGTGGTTTAAAGCCTTATAGTAAAAGAGATCAACTGCTTAATTGTGTGATGACATTCAGTGCCCTAAAGCCTGCTTCAAGGCCCCATAAGGAAGTCATTTGCTGGATTTCATAATTGCCCTAGGTAAATGTGAAGGATCAGTTTTTCTATATCTTTTACCTGATGTTCAGTGTTACTAAGGAGCCCTGGGAGCATATTGGATTATGAGCTGCACTGCTAATTGCAAGGTCAGCAGTTCGAATCTACCAGTCGCTCTGTAGGAGAAAGATGAGGCTTTCTGTTCCCATAAAGATTTGCAGCCTCAGAAACTCTATACAGAGTCCCTATAAGTTAGAAAAAACTCGGTGACACACAACCACCACCATTGTGGTATAATGAAGCAGCAGTAAATCTTCTGTCTTCTTGAAATTCAATATAAAATATGTTTTAAATAAAATTTGCAAGAGGATGCTTAAGCATTTATCTCTGATAATATTTTATTTTATATATAATAACTAATATATTAATAGTTAGAGCCATATTTTCCTCAAAGATTTTAATAAATTGAGACATTAAAAGTTATTTTTATTTGAAACCAAGACACATCATGCTTTGGTTTTATTGTAATGTACACACTATTATTATATGAGATCTTATGCTATATAGTTCAAAAATATAAAGGAAAATACATCTATATGGATGTATGCATATATACACTGGTGCATGCATGCATTTCTAATTATAACTTTTACATACCCTATAGTTCTTTCTGCTTCTTACTAAAACTTACATTTTTATCTTATATTGTATTGTTAAGTATTGAATTCATTTATTTTAAAGTAAAAAGATATTCTTAAATATACAACTATGCAATATATTACAGTGTTACTATCCATTTAGCCAGCACCTCTCTCAGTCTATTAAGATGCAGACTATTTGGCAGGGATAAACATACATAACAATATTTAAAATTCTCCTTGACCTAAATTTTTTAGTTTGACTATGATGTAAATTAAAATTAACCCACGCCATGACTGTCCTAGTATTAACACACAAAAAGCATAGATGCAGTAACATATTGATTTATATTTTCCTAGTATCCCACATTTTCATTTTTAGAGGAACACTTAACATTTTTAAAATAACAGATTTATGTTCTCCTTGCTCCTGCCCACTAAAGTTGTTTGCTATCATATTTTACTTTACAGAATAAGATTCCTTCGGATGACAACATGAAGCTCTGGATTCATCTCTTATATTCAGCTCTCCTTGCTTGTGTATCTTTACAGTCCCAATCTCCAATGTCCTCAGTCAGAGGTTCTTGTGATTCACTTTGCAACTGTGAGGAAAAAGATGGCACGGTGATCATAAATTGTGAAGAAAAAGGCATCAAGAAGTTATCCCAAATTAGTGTGCCACCATCACGACCTTTCCATCTAAGTTTGTTGAATAATGGCTTGACAGGGCTTCATACAAATGACTTTTCTGGGCTTACCAATGCTCTCTCCATACACCTTGGATTTAACAACATCGCAGATATTGAGACTGGTGCATTTAATGGCCTTGGCCTTCTAAAGCAACTTCATATCAATCACAATTCTTTAGAAATTCTTAAGGAGGACACTTTCCATGGACTGGAAAACCTGGAATTCCTACAAGCAGATAACAATTTTATTACAGTGATTGAACCAAGTGCCTTTAGCAAACTCAACAGACTGAAAGTGTTGATTTTAAATGACAATGCTATTGAAAGTCTTCCTCCAAATATATTTCGATTTGTTCCATTGACCCATCTAGATCTTCGTGGAAATCAATTGCAAACCTTGCCTTATGTTGGGTTTTTAGAACACATTGGCAGAATATTGGATCTCCAGTTGGAAGACAATAAATGGGCATGCAATTGTGACCTATTGCAGCTCAAAATTTGGTTGGAAAACATGCCTCCACAGTCAATAATTGGTGATGTTATATGCAACAGCCCTCCAATTTTGAAAGGAAGCATACTAAGCCGACTGAAAAAGGAATCTATTTGCACCACTCCACCAGTCTATGAAGAACATGAAGATCCTTCAGGATCACTAAGTCTGGCAGTAACACCTTCAATAAAAGATAGTCACATATCAACCAAGACCATAGTTCTGTTAAAACCACCCACCAAAGCACCAGGTCTGATACCTTATGTTACAAAGCCAGCCACACAACTTCCAGGACCCTACTGTCCTATTCCCTGTGTTTGTAAAGTATTATCCCCATCAGGACTTCTAATACATTGTCAAGAGCATAATATTGAAAGCTTATCAGATCTTAAACCCCCTCCACAAAATCCTAGAAAGCTTATTCTAGCTGGGAATATAATTCACACATTGGTCAAATCGGATCTAGTGGAATATTTTACTTTGCAGATGCTTCACTTGGGAAATAACCGTATTGAAGTTCTTGAAGAAGGATCATTTATGAATCTAACAAGGTTACAAAAACTCTATCTAAATGGAAATCATCTGACTAAATTAAGTAGAGGCATGTTCCTTGGACTCCATAATCTTGAATACTTATATCTTGAATACAATGCTATTAAGGAAATACTACCAGGAACCTTTAACCCAATGCTTAAACTTAAAGTCCTCTATTTAAATAACAACCTCCTACAAGTTTTGCCACCACATATTTTTTCAGGAATTCCCCTAACTAGGATAAATCTTAAAAAAAACCAGTTTTCTCATCTACCTGTAAGTAATATCTTGGATGATCTTGATTTACTAACCCAGATTGAACTTGAAGACAACCCTTGGGACTGCTCCTGTGACCTGGTTGGATTGCAGCAATGGATACAAAAATTGAGCAAAAACATAGTAACAGATAACATAGTCTGTACTTCCCCAGAGCATCTTGACAAAAAAGAATTGAAAGCTCTAAATAGTGAACTTCTTTGCCCAGGTTTAGTAAATAATCCATCCCTGCCAAGTCAGCCTAGTTACATAGTTGTCACTACTCCAACAACCGCAACGAATACAGGAGATACTATTTTCAGATCGCTTACAGATGCCGTACCACTATCTGTTTTAATTTTAGGACTGCTGATTGTGTTCATAACTATTGTGTTTTGTGCTGCAGGGATAGTGGTTCTTGTTCTCCACCGCAGGAGAAGATACAAAAAGAAACAAGCAGAGGACCAAATGAGAGACAACAGTCCTGTTCACCTTCAGTACAGCATGTATGGCCATAAAACAACTCATCACATGACTGAAAGACCCAGTGCATCGCTCTATGAACAACATATGGTGAGTCCCATGGTCCATGTCTATAGAAGTCCATCCTTTGGTCCAAAGCATTTGGAAGAGGAAGAAGAAAAGAATGAGAAAGAGGGAAATGATGCTAAACATCTCCAAAGAAGTCTTCTGGAACATGAAAAACATTCACCGCTCATGGGATCAAATCTAAAATATAAAACTTCAGACCAAACAAATGAATTTTTGTCCTTCCAGGATGCCAGTTCTTTATATAGGAACATTTTAGAGAAAGAAAGAGAACTTCAGCAACTGGGAATCACAGAGTACTTAAGGAAAAATATTACTCAGCTCCAGCCTGATATGGATGTACATTATCCTGGAGCCCATGAAAAGTTAAAATTAATGGAGACACTAATGTACTCAAGACCAAGAAAGGTATTAGTGGAACAGACTAAAAATGAGTATTTTGAGCTCAAAGCTAACTTACATGCTGAACCTGACTATTTAGAAGTCCTGGAGCAGCAAACATAGAAAGTAAGGGCTTATGCAGAAATGCTGTGATTCTGTCTTAAGTCCAAACCTTGTACATAAGTGCCTTACATAAATGTGTCATCAATCAGAACTTAAGCACAGCAGTAATTCTGTGGGGATTAAAAGGAAAAAAAAAGAAAACAGAAAACAGAAAAGAAACTCAGGGATCACTGGGAGAAGCCATTGTGTTATCTTCAGGCATTTTAGTCTGTCCCCAATTAAAAAAAAAATCCTTGTATGTTTATCTTTCAAGGATTAAAGTAATATTTCTCCATATACTTCAAAATATTTCAAAGAAGTCCTCTTGCACATCTAAAAGGGTTGAATATTGAGACAACCTTTATTTTCCTGAATTACTTTTACCCATGGATTAAGTAGAATTAGACTTCATCATCTAAAAGTATAACTGTATATAATATGTAAAGAATATATTGTTTATACAACCAATGTGTGTATATATACATGCATATGTATACACATATGCATATATATATACTACAAAAGTGTACAGTTTCAAATAAACTTAATTTTCAATAAATGCAAAGGCACTGGAATTTCATAATTACATATAGTGACAATAAAGAAGGAATCTACAAGAATCTAGGGAGCATGATAGCTCTGTAGGATAAGCACTGGACTGTGAACCACAAGGTTGGTGGTTCAAGCCTATTAGTCACTTCTTGGGAGAAAGGTGAGGCTTTCTGCTCCCACTAAGATTTACAGCTTCAGAAATCATACACAGAGTAGCTATGAGTTAGAACTGACTCAACGGACACTTAATAACAAAAACAATAGTTATCTATGCTCTGAGTATACTAAAATTTTGGACATTTGAAAATTAAACATATGCCACATCTATGCTTTTTAAAATTCAAAACAAAAAAATGTGTAGTTCAGGTGGAATAAACAAGTGAACTTTTATTTCTGCACATTTTGTGTGGACAATGCTATTGTCAATGCTGCTGTGAATTAAGGTATGTCATCTTGCTCAAATGTTGATTCTTATTCTTGTGATATTTTAAACATGCTACTGAGATTCAACTGTAAATATAACTAGTGCACTTACTAAGTTTGGTTTATTTCATAGCATTGATCCTTTGTAAATCTGAATGACCATGATACAAATAATTTCCTTGTGGCAAGTAATTCACAGATGTAAAACAAGTAGGAAAAACAACAACAGCAATTACTGTATTTCTATTGATGTATATTGATAAATTTATAGCGAAAAGGTACTTCTAGGGTAAGTGATTTAAGTTGTCTCAAGAGTGGGACAAAGTAGCTTTATTTTACAAGAAAGTATCACTAGATTTCTATAAGCTATTTATTCTGTACAGTTTTGTATATTTTTGACTCACAAAAGTTATCATTCTTGGGTGCCTTTTGAGAAAATTAAAAACACTGCTCACTACAATAAAACTAAAATGAAAACTCTTTTTAAAATGTTCCTTCTTTGGTTTGTCTGACCTGTAATTTTATCAAGTTGACGTTAACACAGGCATGCATACACCCACACATATACACAATACAACAAAACAAGTCTGTTTGCTGTCATGCATACAAAAGCGTCTTGTTCACAGTGTGCACGAAGATAATTCAATATCTGGCTATGATTGACATGGAGACAAACTGAAAGTCCTATATAAGTTCTTCTTTTCAAAAAAATACACTTCCCACTCAATTAAAAAGGAAATGTGTTTTTTTGTTTTGTTTTGTTTTTCTGGTTATAAAATAAATTATACAGAAATTTCCACAAGGCAAAATATAATTTAGCAGTATAATTTAGTTGGTGTTATTTTTGCAACTTCTGGATATTCTGTTAAATTTTTGATTCTTAGCACTGAATGATCAGTACTACTTGTCAAAGCATATATTATTTCTTTGAATTTGAATGAAAAGACAACCTGTTGATAAACAATAGGTTGGTGACTGAGCTTCAGTGTATGAAGACTAATTATCAACCTAATATTAAATTGTATGATGAAATTTCTCTTTAATTAGTTGTATATATTAAAGTATTCATTGATGATCTAAATTCTAAAGTATAGAAAGAAAAGGTGAGAATTATTTAGATTTCTTAAGTAATATTTACTAACGACAATATGTGTGTATTTGGAATGTTTTATACCCAAGGAGCTCTGGTAGCTTAGTGATTACAAATCGGGCTACTAACCTCAGGGTCAGCAATTTGAAACTACCAGCTATTCTGTGGGAGAAAAATGAGGCTATCTGTTACCATAAAAATTGACAGCCTTGGAAATCCTATGCAGGATCACTGAGTCGGAACCAACTCCATGGCACATAACCACCACCACAACCACCACCATGTACTTACTCAATAAAATAATGATAGCAAAAAAGTGACTAGTCAACCTTCTCTCATATAGGTTTAAAAATTTATAAAAAGAAGAACAAACCAGGAACAGAATTCATTTTATTCCACTTCTCTTAGTTAAATATCTGCCAATACAAATTTTTTAAATTCTAATTTGGCACAGAGAAATATTTAGTATTAGGAAACATTTAAGAAATCCCCAGGCCTAGAGGACCATTGTAATGGTTCTGCTAACAACAGACAGAGACATTCACCTGCTGTGGGTTAGAGAATTTAAAAAAAATGATAATTCACTGTTAATTGTCTAAAGTTAAGAATGTTGATTCTTGAACTCACAATTGAGAATTATTCATGAAGACATGTAAGTATATCTACAAAACTAAAGTTAAACCCCAAGGCTAAAAGACTATAGGAGTATGGATGTAATTTATAATGACAAAGAAATCATCTAGTTTCTAGAAGGACAAGACATTTTAAAGTCCTAAATGGTATATGCCTTATGCAATCTTTCTTTTGTGATCAGTTTCTTCAGTAAATATTTGAGAGTTTAGAAGGCTAATGATGATTCACTTTATTTTTGTGGTAAAATATATACATAACAAAACGTGATTTCCACAATTTCTACATGCACAATTAAGGGACACTGATTGCATTCTCATTATTTTCTTCTAAATTATTCCATCACCATTGACATAACCTCAGTACACCTTAAGCAAAAACTGCAATTTTCCCTTCCTCTTACCCAGTAACAACTATTTAAATAAACCTTTGGTTTAAATTTGCTTATTTCATATAAGTGAGATATGTTGTGACTGACTTATTTCACTCAGAATGATGTTTTCAAGGTATATTCAGGTAGGGTTGTTAACTCTTAACACATCTTTTGCCTTGTGAGCTTCTCTTAGGATGTTGGTTATTTTATGTGTGTTTCCTATTACGTCTTCTTGCCACTGTAAAAGACATTTCCCTAAATTCCCTGTTTACTTACTTATGCAGCCAACTAGGACTTCTGCAACTAATGGGTTAATTCAGAGTTCCAAGTCTTAATCCAATATCCTCAGACTTGTTCACAGGTGTTGGAGTCCTGGTGTGGCCTTGTGGGTTAATGTGCTGAATTGCAAAGCCGGTTTGAACTGCAAGGTCAGTGGTTCAAGCTCACCAGCTGATCCTCGGAAACCCTATACAGCGTCGCTATAGGTCGGAAATGACTCAACCCACACAACAATTCATATGTGCTTTATTAAAATAGTTCATTCTATAGTAAATGAGACATTAAATTTTACTAGCGTTTTCCTTGACAGGGACATAATTTGTACTTTGCTCATTGCATATCAGTAAAATTCTGATCTGTATGAATCTTGAATTTTTATAATGTTGTCATAGTGTATAATCACACTAGATCAAACTTTCAAACCTCTAATCTGTTATGCATGTGTTGCATTAATCCTTATTTAAAATCATTTTCATTAAATTGCCATAATATACTGTAGCTTTATGAAAGTGTTATTCAGATATTTTCAACTGACCCCCATACTGAGGTGGACATTTTACTATCTAAGAAATGTTTCTATCAGTCATGTCAACCCTCCCGTTTGAATTAACTACTTGTATCCTTGAAGAGAGAAAGAGTTTTCTTGTTCTTATAGTATTATATAAATTGAAATGCTATCTAAGCTACCTTTATCCTTTGGCTAAGTTAATTTAAAAGACTTAGGCTTTGATCCTGGATAAAAGAAGCTGATATTTCTCTTATCATTAAAATGAAATTTTTGAAAAATAAGGAGTTAGACTCTTCCTGATATTCTATATAGTTGCAGAACTAATTCGGCTAAGATAATAGATTAATAAATAAATATGGACTCCATGCACATGCAAATTAGTTTGTTATTGGTGTATGCTAATAACCAGTACATAGTCAAGCACACTTGTACTATTAATATGCAGAGATATTTGAAAATAGACTTCTTTTCTGATTATAAACATAAATCTACAAATCAACACCCAAATAGAGTTCAGAGAATTTTCTATGTATAATACTCTTATGAAATGATCAGCAGAATCTATCCTATATATGAAAAGAAAGTTATAGGTGTGAATAAAAGTGTCTGGAATGGGAAGTTTGGATTTCTTAGTAATTTAGAAATAGCTTTACAGTGAATTTAAGATTTCCTCTCTGCTTATTTTTCTTGCAGAACATTTTTTAGATGCAACATTAATGACTACAGTTTCTTCTTGAGGAGATGGGGTAACATACAATGAAAAACTTGTATTCTAGGAAAGGAGACAGTTAAAGTCTTTCTAAGGATGAGTATTCCTGGTTTTGGGCAGTCACATCAACAGTGACCTCATCCATAAAGAATGGTTAAGGGATTAAAAATAAAGCATTCTTTCTAGCCTTTTCAACTGCACATATCATGAGCTATAGACATTTCCCCAAACGTCATCTGAGGTTCATATCCATGGTTGTGTGTCCAAAAAATACAGAATAGATAGTTATCATTGATTATGGTAATAGATAATTTCTTGTTTCTATTTTTTAGAACCTCAGT